CTACCCAGCACCCTGTCAGCACCAAAGGGTAGATTGCCTGAGAGGACCTAAATCTGACTGTCGATTTAGCCTGGCATCTCTCCAGTTTAGCAATTCTGCCACCTATAAAATAATTAAAGCAGCTTGCTTTGCCATTGCTTCCAGATGCAGCTACAAAAATTGGTGCATAAAGGCAGTAAACAAGAGCTGGGCTAGGACATAGCCTTGCTTGAGGCTGTTTTTGACAGTGACATGTTCTGACATCTTGTCATCACTAAGAACCTTTTCATTACCTCACATCATCATGAAAGAACCAAAATATACTCAGAAACTTATTTGGATCCCCAAATTTATGCAGACGCCTCTGGGCTCATCATGGCTGGCAGTGCTGGAACCTTCACCCAGCTCTGCAAAGGCCAGGTAGAGACTTCTGCAGGCTTGGAAGCAGGACAGGGCTAAAAGTCAGACTGTTTCTGCAAAAGCCTTTTCAACACCCTCACCCATAAATCTGCTGATGTCATTGTGACAGGCATTTTTCCCAGCAGTTGAGAAAGTCAACATACCTTGGTGTCACTGCAGGAATGTTTTCACCTTTTTCATTGTAAAAGGTGCTGTCTTCTTGAAAGCCTTGAGGTACCAATCTCTTTATTAGGTGATAGTAATGAGCTCCTGTTTTCTAGCTGGTTGGTGACACTCTATTTATGTGCAGAGGTAGGGTGTGAGTAGGGACTTTGCCTTGCTCTGTAGGAATGCCCAGATGCTGTAGGAATCTCTGCTCCCAGTTTTTGAATGGGGAGCTGAGAAGTGGCTTTTAACAGGGCTAAAGAATGCAAGGTTTAAGAAAATGCTGAGATATTTGAGCAGGCCATCTGCGATTTCCCTTTGATCAGATAACAGGGTTAAAGTGATCTTAGACCACAGCATTTGTAGAGAATCTTGTCATTCCCACAATCTGCAGCTTTAGAAGTGTTTTTCCTCATCTTTCAGTTGGCAAACCACAGGCTTTGCTTGTGATTTCTGCCTAGTTTTGTGGCAAACAGCTTTCATGACTGCCAGTTTTTATTTTTACTTGAAGCTAGTTCAGCACCTGCATATCAGCAGCAATCTGATGGATGTGCCCTTTACATTAACCCAGTTTTAAGATCTGAATTCAGCAAAACCAGTGAGTTCAGTTTAAGACCTCACTAGACTCTCTTTGAATCTTGAATGCACTGTGTTGACATCTTCTGCTTGTTGCTGCCGTTAAACTACAGCAACATCTTCTTTATCTTCACACCCACATGCCCTTTTCTGAATTTCATCCAGTACTTGTGGGGATCACTGAGCACTGCCTGACTCCTCAAGAGCTGTCAATCAGATCTGCCCTCAATGCCCTCCAGAGCTTGGGGCCCTCAATGCCCTCCATGAACTGAAGGATCCACTTAATTTTATCACACTTGCATTGCAGGCTTTTGTATTTAGTCAGATTATCCCCCCAGAAGTGCTCTAGATTCATATTCTGGCCTTTAATCTTTAGTGTAAATTCATTGTGAATACTTTGGCAATGCAGATATCAGCAGATTTACTTCAGATTAACATCACTATAGGAGAGAATAAAATCTGGAAAAAAAGAGTTTTGGCTTTTTAAAAGTTTTTTTGGCAAAACATATTGTGTTTCATTAATGACTCAAGAATGAGGCATTTTGAAATAGGTGTGAAATCCAAATCTGTGTTTACGTAGCTTCCGTATCTTACCTGTTAAAAAAGATGATGATACAAGATGGAGAAGCACATGTAAAGGGCACAGGTATATCTTTTACAAGTGAAAGACTTAAGACTTCCAAAATTTTTAGTAGAAAATTTTCCCTTTACCTTCAGTAACTTAGAAGCTCCCTTTTGTTTTCTCAATAAGGAGTCTCATTTCCATCAGCTGGGAGAGAGCAAGCCTGGGCATCTACAGTCTGCTACTTGTCCTACTTCATGCATGCTTTCCCAGATGGAATAAATCCCCCCTTGGACTTGTTTACTGAGGGTTTCTTTTCTTTCATTGACTGTACAGGAGTCTAAATGACTAAATTAGCATAAGGCTTTTCTTGTCTCCCTGCTCTGCTCACTTCCTCCACTACCAGGCTTGGCACATATTCCTCCCCAGCTGATTACGTGCACACAACTCATTCCTGCTCTTAGTCATGATGCTGTGTGGCAGAAGGTCACCCCAGCTCTCTCCTGAGTGCTCCAAAGCCAAGACCACAGGGGGGTTTGCAACAGCCTGAAAAGCAATCAGGAGTTTTGCAGCACTGCTGCAGCCGCTCGGTCAGCTGGGGGTGCTGGTGAGGGAGAGCCAGAGAGGATGTGACAGTGCCGGTGGGCAGACCCCAGGCTGGCTGGCATGGGCTGGGGAGGAAAGCTGCTGAGAAGACCAGAGCCTTCCTTCAGCCAAGGGTGACTTGATGAGCAGAGACTTCAAGGGACATTCATTCCATCCACCTGCAGGCAGATTTCTGCAGAGCAGAAATCTACAGAGCAGATTTCCATCTACAGAGCAGATTTCTGCACTTGAATTAGTCACTGTAGGCTCCTTTCCAATGAAGGCAGAGCAATGTCCACTTCCTAGGAAAGATTTATTGAGCTATTTTAGGCACCTTTTATATGAATTGCTGTCTCAAAGTAACTGTTTTCCTGCTGTGACCATAAAGGGTGTCTAGGTGGCTTGACATCAGCAAGAAGTATGGTAAAAGCACAACTCACTTCAAAGGAATGACAGAAAGTACTTGAATGATAACTCTATTAGGAGTTACTAAAAAGGTAAAGCTCATCCTACTGAGCTAAAAATAATTAAGAGCTAGGAAAGAAACTTGGGGGATTTATCCAGCTTGCCCCCTATTTCCTTACTCTTCCCAAGCTCAGGCTTACTGCCCCTTTGTTAGCTGTTGACCTGAACCCTTGATCTGACACAGGATGACACACTCTTGCAATCTTATGACCAGCTCTGATGTTTCCATCTCCCCTGCATTTTATCAGATGAATTGCACCCTTCTTGTCTCAAAACTGAGTTCTGGACAGCAAGCAGTATGTGCTATTGCAAATTAAACTGCAGTGTAAATAAATGAATAAAACAAAGTATGCTAGGAAAGTGGTCTTGGTGTGAAACCTGAGACAAAAAACCAGCAGAATCTGGTTTTTTGGTTATGGGTCAATTAACATGACAACAGGTCTGATGTGACAGACAGGATATGCCTGATCTCAAAGATCTTTGCCCAGTTAGAAGGGCTCACTGGAAGAGCTTTAAACTAGATTTGTGGGGAGAAGGGGATAAAACCAGTCTAGACAAGCCTGGAGGCAGTACATCAGTGTTTGGTGGATGGAGTGCCAACATGCTCCTCTATTCTGCTGCTGCTGCCTCGGTGGCAGGGGGTGGAGATGGATGGAGATCCACGTGGCAGCAAAGATGCAGGTGTCAGTGAGGTGTTAGAAACCACACAAGTGTGTGAAAAGGGTCATGCAGGACTCAGGGCTTCCACCCCCAAGAGGGCAGTGGGGACAGCAGCCCAAATGAAGTGCATCTGTACCAGTGCATGCAGAATGGGCAATAAAGAGAAGGAACAGGAATTGATTATGCAGCAGGAAAATTGTGATACAGTTGCCATCATGGAAACAAGGCAGGGAGGCTTGCACAGCTGGGGTATTGCAGTGCAGCCCTGTCAGCCTGACTTCAGTGCCAGGGAAGATCATGGAGCAGATCATCCTGAGTGCCATCAAATGGAACATGCAGGACAAGCAGGGGATCAGGCTCCCAGGGCCATGGGCTTTTGAAAGGCAGGTCCTGCTTGACCAAGCTGTCTCCTCCTATGACAGGGTGACCTGCCCAGTGGATGAGGGAAAGGCTGCGGATGTGTCTACCTAGACTTTACAAATCCTTTGACATCATTTCACACAGAATTCTCCTGGAGAAAATGCTCGTGGTTTGGATGGGTGCACTGTCCACTGGGTGAAAAAGCTGGACCCAGAGAGTGGTGGTGCATGGAGTTAAACCCAGCTGGTGGCCAGCCATGAGTGGTGTTCCCTGGGGCTCAGAATTTGTGCTAGTCCTGTTTAATATATTTATCTGGATGTGGAGTTCTGGCACACCCTCAGTAAGTTTGAGGCTGTGTGGGAGTGTTGATATGCTGGAGGGTAGGAAGGCTCTGCACAGGCTGGATCCATGGGTGAGGCCAATGGTATGAGGTTCAACAAGGGCCAGGTGCCAGATCCTATACCTGGGTCAAAACAACCCCATGTATTCCTCCCAAAAAAACCTCATCTCTCTATAATTTCAAAGTAATCAAGGACCAGAAAAGGGAAAAGGAGTATTCCATAACTGAGGGGAAAAGGTATTTTAGAGTCCCTTCTCTTCCATGACACACTTTACTTGAAGTACTACTAAGTGTGGAGCATCTGCTTGGCCTCGAGGGCAAGGCCAAGAAGAGCAGAAAAGCCTTTTTAAGTGATTGCTCAGGCATTCAGAAAAGTGCAAAGGAATGTGTTCAGGTGAGGACATTCACTGTGCAGGGAAGGGAGAAATAACTGCTGAGGGAGGTCATTACCCTGCCAAGTGTGTTCCTCCAAAAAGCAGAAGGCACAGGGAGGCCAACACTGAAGATGATGCAAAAGCAGATTGCAGAATGGAGGAACCCTGGAGCCCTGAGGTGGGTTCTGCAGCCCTTCTCCTGCACAGAGGAAAGATATTGGTGAGAGGGTGGCAGTGGAAGAAACATCAGTTTGGGGGGGCAAACTGTGGTATGAGTGTACACATATCAGCGTGTGCATCCCAGCAGAGGCGTACACGGAGTATCGAGCATTCTGCACCACACAGCCTTGGCCTGACACACTTATGTTTGTACAACGCGCACATTTTCCTGGAAGGTGTTCCACCTGCCTTTCCCAGGGGAGCCCGGAGCGTGCGAGAACGGCTGCCGGGCCCCGTGCCGGGTCTGGCGGGGCAGCGCCGCGGGAGCGGGAGCGGGAGCGGGAGCGGGCACGGCCGGGCGGGGCCGGGGCGAGGAGGCAGCGCCGGGCCCCGGGGGCGGAACGGGACGGGACGGGACGGAGCCGGGAGCGGCCATGGGGAAGCTGCTGGCGGTGGCTCTCGTCGGGATAGCGGCAGCCTTGGCGGCGGAGCGGCTGCTGGCATTCCGGTGGGTGAGCGGGGATCGGAGCCGCGGGTCCCGGTGCCGGCGGGGCGGGACGGGGCTGAGCCCTCCCGGTGCGGGGCTTGGCCCTCCCGGTGCGGGGCTTGGCCCTCCCGGTGCGGGGCTGAGCCTCCCGGTGCGGGGCTGATCCCTCCCGGTGCGGGGCTTGGCCCTCCCGGTGCGGGGCTGATCCCTCCCGGTGCGGGGCTTGGCCCTCCCGGTGCGGGGCTGAGCACCCCCGGTGCGGGGCTGATCCCTCCGGGTGCGGGGCTGAGCACTCCCGGTGCGGGGCTGAGCCTCCCGGTGCGGGGCTGAGCCCTCCCGGTGCGGGGCTGAGCCCTCCCGGTGCGGGGCTGAGCACCCCCGGGTGCGGGGCTGAGCCTCCCGGTGCGGGGCTGAGCCCTCCCGGTGCGGGGCTGAGCCCTCCGGGTGCGGGGCTGAGCCCTCCGGGTGCGGGGCTGAGCCCTCCGGGTGCGGGGCTGAGCCGGGCGGCGGCGGCGGGCGCTTCCCTTCACCCTCCGGGCGGGAGGGCTCGCAGCTCCCGGACTCGGGTACAGCGTACCGAACACCTGCCCTTGCACCAGCGCAGTGCCAGCCAGAGGGGAAGGGTTCTTCATCATCATCACCACCATTGCCGTCAGTATTGTCAAGGGAGCCGTTTTTTCCCAGAGAAGATACAGGCACCGTGATGCCCTTTTCATCCGATTTCGGCATGAACTAACTTAGGGACCATTTATGCAGTGGAAATGCCCTTTGCACTGAATGGATGTGAAATCCTCCCCAGGATGATGCGAGCAAGGGGGACAAACGAAGAAGGTGCCCAGGGGCAGGGGGTAGTACCTCTGTTTTTATAGAGCCTGCAATTAACAGGGATGTGCCAAAAGCACTGTCTGTGAATTTACCTCATCTCCTGCCGACTGGCCAAACAGTGACTCCAAATAACTTGCCAGAAACTTGGGTTATGCTCTACCAAAGCTGACCTCTGGATAACAGTAGCCCCTATGTACATGAGGTTTCCTGTGATGGAGCCCAGACTGTGGTGATCTTAAGTTGTGACCTCACTTGCTGTGAGCTGAAATGCCCAGCCATGTCATGCTCCATATCACACACCTCATGCCATGAATGTGAACACTGGTGTTACAGCAGCTTCTGTCCTGAAAGCTCCCAAATGTGTCACTGGTCCTTTCAGGTCAAAAGTGATGCTGAATTGCTGTATTGGAAAGTGGCTAAATCATTATAATTTTGCTTATGTTCACAAGGACTCCAAATGCCTGATTTCAAGCAATGACATCCAGCTAATTGAACTTTGGGTAGATAGTAGTTGTATCTAATTACAGAAGGAGAGCTTTACTGCCTGGACTCTGGTGCCTGGCATGGATGATGGCTGCATTAAATCTACCATGAGTGTTATTGGTGATAGCCACGGTCATATCGGGGCCCTCCTGTCCTGGAGTTGCATAAACTGGGACAGCAGCACTGGAAGATACTCCCAGGCTTTAGTGGGGTGAGCCATTTCAAAGTGCTGTGAAGAGCAGAGGACTCCACCTCTCCTCCAAACTGAATGAACAAATGAAATGTTAGGAATCTGGTAAAGGAGAATCTCCATGAAGAAGCAGGATGCCCCTGTCTCTGTAGCTCCCTGTGGGTTTTCCTTGTGTGCTGTTTTCTGCAAACTGCAATGTACCAGCAGTCTTAAGACAGTTGCCAAGTTTGGAAACACACAACTTCAGATCACAAAGTACTCTAAAAGTAATTTAACACAGTCTTGAGAGGAGAAACTGTGGGTGGTGTTAGCTCTTGCCAAGGGTCTTTTTTATTCATCCCCTACCCAGAGGGCAATAGTCCAGCAAAGACTTTCTGTAGACTTTCTGTAGAATTCCTTCTGAATTTGTTAAAAAACCCCAGAATCAAATCCCAAGCGATTCATGATTGGTTAGTCTAGAGATGAAGAAAACTAAAAGTGAGAGAGGTCTTTGAATATGGAATGGGTTCCATCTGAAGGAAAGGGAAGGCCTGTGGTCTGTGTCCCATGAAGTAGGGCAGCAGGTGGAGGACTCAAAACTGGAAAGAGAAACCGTGAGGGAAAAGGTGCCATGCACTGGACTTGCACCAAGTGGCAAAAACTCTTGCTTTCTTTGAAGTTGTATCCAGCACATATTGCAGGTCTTCCATATTCCAGGCCGTTGTTAGTATGGCCAGTTGCTAATCTAGGCCATCTGGCTGCGTGGCTGAGGCTGTCTGAGCTAGATAAACTTACACATTTTGGAAAAGCCTCTATATATGCTGCAGGCTTGTGACTGGTGTCCTTTTGAATTACTCTCATTCCAGCCCATGAAGTGTTTCCCTGGGAATGCTGTCGGGATATCATCATCCCTTGCTGGCTGTTGGCTGAGTTCCTGCTGTGCTTTTGGCTCGGGGTGGCTTGCAGCCTGCCTGGGAAAAGCTGGTGAAAATAGGGAAGGGAAAAGCCCTAAGCAGGCAGCAGTGCAGCTTCAGGCAGGATCCCCCTGAGCCACCCTGGAGGGTTTGGTGGGTTTGGCTGTGCCAGGATGCCAGTGGGTGAGGGGGCAGCGGGGGGAGATTCCTCCTGTGCTGTTTGTGGGCTGGGAGCCAGCATCATGATCTCTGTCAGTTCTCCTGTGCTGGGAGAGAGGGCTTGGGAGGGTTTAACTTGGCTCCTTTCCTTTGCAGTTGTCTGCACTTTTTTACTGTTTTTCTTATTTTCTTTTGGCCTTATATTTACAAACCGTGTCACTGATACAGCACTGAAGCAATTTACAATTCATATTTAAGTGATTTAAAAAATGCAGCACTGACATACCATATAGTGCTCAACTGCATGACATATTTTTCATATCACTGACTGATACTGCTGTTTACTTTATGTTTATGCCTAAAACCATAACATAAACATGGCAAGGTTTTGCTATGGGATCTTTGCGTTCAGAATTTCCTGTGTTTGCAGCAATAGCCTCAACATATGCATATGATAGTCATGCAAAAGAGTTACTACATTAGGTTAAATGCTTCCTTCTGGGCAGAAAAAAAAAAAAAAGAAAATAAATATTCTAGCACACTAGAATATGTAGAAATGCAACATATTTTCTTGTGTCACTGCAGACCAGCATGGTCAAACATCCTGGCTGTTGTGAGGTGGTGCTCATGAAGATTTGCAAACAACTTGGAGCAGAGAAATACAAACTTGTGTCTGCCTGTCTGTATCTGTTTGTCCAGTGAAGTATGAGCCAGAGGTGGAATTTTATGCACATTCATGAATGAAATAAGCACTGATGAAGGGTAATGCTTGGGGTGGTTACCAGGAGTGAAGAGGATGGGACAGGGTAATTGCTGAAAACCGCACTACCAACTCCTGCTTGTAAGGGAAAGAGTGTTCCTGCCTTGCAACAGTGCTATTGCTGCCTTTGAATGTAGGCAGGAAATGAAGAAAGTGCAACTACTGGTGGCCTGGTCACCAAAAATAGGCAGTGGGCTGCAGTAGAAGATTGCCCTCTCCTCTTGTGAAATGTTGGTCCTAACTGCAGGGTGCTTCTATGTTTAGGTGTCTGAAACCTGAAGAAAATGTGGTTATGTTATCATCTGAGCTGCAGTGGGTCATGAAAGCTTGTTACTGGAGCTCATGAACAAAACTAAGTTTTCTGAAGTCACTCGGAGTAGAAGAATCACTTAATCCTTGGTCATGTGTAACCATTGCAGTGATTTGGAGCAGTTGCTGTTGTTGGTTCTGGAGTTTGCTTATTCAGTACTTTACGGCTGATTTGTTGCTGCAATGTGGCAGACAATAAAACTGAAAACTAGGAAAGTTACCTGTTTTCAAACTGGCTGCGTGCTGTTTAACCCTGCTCTTTCCTCTTGCAGGAGCAGACTCAATGCTTCACGGGAAGTAGCCCCGGTGAGCCTCCCGGACTGCCGGCTCATTAAAGGGATCGGTACGTGCTCGAAATAACTGAGTGCACTGCTTTTGTCCAGCCCTCTTTTGTAATGGCTTCTTAAAGCCAGCTTCCAAGCCTGATCCCAAAAACAAAGTGCTAATTTGACTTTGATTTGCTACTTGGACTTGGAGGTAGGGAGACACTGCAGGAAGAAAATAGTACTGAAAAACTAGCTGGGTGTAAGTCGGTATTAAGTTTCTTTTCCTTTTCTTAAAATTGAGTACCTTGTAAACACTTCTTTGCTAAGTCACTTAGAAAATGGTTTGGCTTTCAGATGAGGGTGTGCTGGCTCTTCAGGCAGGTACCTACAGGAGGCTGTCAGCTGGTTACGCCCTGGAGATGGGAAATGCTGCAAGGGTGTGTGAAAAACGCCAATCACTTGCTTTTATAATTTTAAAAGTTTAATAGTAATAAAATGGTTATAAAAATAGTGATACAATTAGAGTAATAATAATTTGGACAATTTGAATTAGGACAATATGAGACAATAGAAACAAAGAGTTACAGACATCCAGGTACCTTTTTCTGGGCAGCACAAGCCCCAAAAAGGACACACGTTAACAGAGGATTAACCCTTAGAAACAACAGCCTGTTGCATATTCATACACCTCATACATGATGCAAAAATTCCATTCAAATACAGGATTCTGTCTGGTCATCGTCGGCTTCTTCCTCTTAATCCTAACAGTGTCATCCCACCCGAGCGAGATGGGAAGAAGTTAATTTCTCCTGATAATGGAGCAATAAATTCTCTTTCTCTGAAAGATTTAGGTGTCCTGTGACTGCTATCTCAGTATGAGTCCTTTCTTTAGGAAAAAAAGTATCCTACATAGCATAGTTTCTATTTTAACATTTTGTTATAATCTAAAACTATATTTAACACACTACTTAAGAGAATTAATACAGCATTATTTTCTAACACAACACATATAATATTCATTTTAATATTTGCGAAAAGCCAATCATAAAATACGCATTTTTCACAGGTGGAAGCCTTAGGAGAAGGCCACAGGCACATGGGGAAGGAGTGGCTGCTAAATGCCAGCCAGGCTGCCCCTCCTTAGTGCCACATTTTGGAATATTTGGGAGCCACCTGGTGCTGCAGTGCCGGGAGCTCGGCACGGTTGTGCAATGCAGCTGTGGGTTCCAAAGAGCAAGGGGTCATGTTTGTCATCCTAGTCTGGTTTGCAGAGAGGTTTAACAGAGTGGCTCAAATGTTGACTTTGTACTTTAGGCCGTGTGTTTAGCACACAGCGAGATTTACGTCTTGGTTTTTTTCTCTCCACTTAGGATAATCAGTTTATAAAATTGATAGCTTTGAAATGGATTTCTTTTTTGTGTCTCCCTTTCTCCCAAAAAACCTTAATAAAGGCTTGATGGCTAAGGATTTTCCCCTCTTTAGTATTTTTGGAAATGGCTTAAATTATGTTGAAATTTGTCTGGATTTTTCATGTGTAAAAAGTCATTGGATGAGCTATCACAGCCTTGTCTTTGAGCTTGCTGAGTCAGTGAGTTGATTTCATAAATCTTGTTTCTTCCTTGTGTCAGGATTCAAACATCTTTATAAAGTCAAATTGCTGCTATGAATGTGTATATGCAGAATTCCTGTGCTTGAAAATACATACAGAAGAAATTGCATTGAAAAAATTTTCCAGGTCTTTTAGATTAAGCTGTAATTTACTTATACAAGACTATGAATGATGCTTGTTTGGTGGTGATTGATATAAGATAATTTCTGAGTAATTTTTTAAGCATATCACTATTGCAATCTTTATAAGACTTTTTTGCAACATGATTGTTCTGTTGAGGAAAGAAGAAAACCTGGAAAAGACAGATAGAGTTGTGTTTCATTTCTGAACAGTGTCTTGGTTTTTGTGCCTGACATTTACATGCAGATTAGGTTATTTCTGAGAACCTCTCTCTGCTTAGAGGCAGTGGATCCATTTACAGAGCTTCATTTCTGCTTCTTTCTGGCTAGTCTCATGCTGCCCCTTCACAGAGAGAACTGTACCTTGCCTTGCCTTTGCTCTGCAGTTTGCTGCTCATTAGAAAAATAAAAATGCCAAAAAATTAGTTTAGCAGGTCCAGTGTGGCAGAAAGAGAAGTAACAAAGGATTGTGCAAACTGAAAATTGGCACATTTACTCAAATGTCTTCTAAAACTCATTTGCTGTGACCAGGGGCTTATATCATTCAGGGTGACCAAGGACCCCTGAAGCTTAAATGCTGCCTAGGTAGTATTGTTCAGACATGGGGTTCTGCTGTACTTGGATCTGTAAGGTTGCTTGTGTGGATGACTTTGTCTTAGGATGTCTTTGTACATGGATGTCTTGGCCTCTTGGGCCTTTTTCCTTTAAAATGCTAGGATAAAGCTGAACAAACAATCTGTCTTTATTTTAATGCTTAAATAAGTCCTCCTGAACTCTTAAATGTGACATAGATCCCAGAGTTGGATCATCTGGATCTGAGTAAAATAATCTTAATCTATCCATTCTGTATATGGAGGAGCAGACCTCTGGTACAGTCTATGAAATGTAAGTGATGGATCTAAGTGAAGCAAACACAGAGTAAATGGAAAACTTCTCTAGTGGACCTTTTTCTTTGTGCACAGTTGCATCTCTTCTGTGTCTTACTGTAATCTATTTGGCTTTTCAAATATTGTGCAATATAAGCACAGATGCAAACATTGAACAAACAAAAATTGCACCTTGTCCTAAGCCTCATTCTCAAATATGTAGGAAAGGCTGTATTTGTAGAATAAACACCAGCTTCTGAGTTGTATTGATGCCTTATCATATTACTGGTTTATAATAAACTAACTATATCTCCTGTACTAATTCCTAAAGTTCAAGAAGCTACTACAGAAGTTGCTGGAAACACTTGCATCTTAGAACAATTGGTGGGATTGGGCAAAACGGTGTCACACTTTTGGATATGAAACCTAGATGGGTGTTTTTGTTAAATACACCTGCAGAATACATCATACTAAGATAAAATAAAGAACAACAAATAAAGAATAAAGAACAACATTTCTAGAGTAGGCAGCAGTTTTTCACACTATCTTTTAGTTTCTCTTAAATGCCACCACTCTTCAGATAATCCCATGGACAAGCTGGGCTCAGTGATACGATGAAACAACAGAGAGTGCACACAAGTGATACCTGAGGAGTCAGCTCCTGACTCTCCTGGCCCACAGGGCCCCTGCAGCAGCAGCAGCAGCAGCAGCAGCACAGAGCCCTCCCAAAAGGACGAGCAGAGTCCCTGAGCTTCCCTGCTGTGTGCCTGCAGCCCCTGCCCGGCGGGCTGGATCAGCAGGGCTGTGCTGAGTCAGCATTCCACTGCCCTCCTGACCACCGGCTTCCACACATTCCAGGACCCGGCCATGGAGCGCCCAAAATGTGCTTTGCTGGGCACTTTCTCTTGGAACAGTTGGGTGCAGGGCTCTCAGTGTGCTCCCTCCACTGGAAACTTGGAAAGTTTTTAATGATCTGCTCCCAATTAGCCTGCTCATCTTTCTGCTTGGCAGCCTCACCGATTCAGTAGCGATAAATGATTATATCTCTGTTTATTCACTCACCAGTGTGTGCTGCCAGTAAAAGCTGTCTGTCCAGCTCATGTCACCATGGCAATTGAGCCTCAGCATTTCTTTATGCAATTAGCTTTGCAGCAATCCTGGAAAGTGGAGAATTACCACTAACCCCATTTTATAAATTAACCGAGGCTTGGAGAGACTGGGGCAAGGGAAAGGAGTTTGTGGCTCAAACCAGAGTGTAAGCTGAGCTGAGAAAAAAAAAAAAAAGAGCCCAAATTCAAAACTTTAATTGGTAAATACAGGCTCTAAGTGTTTCTGGACACATCAGTGCAGATGTTGTCTCCTGCTTGAGTTAGTCAAAATTCAGAACAAAAACCCAGGGTGAGATAATAGCTGACTCTTCCCAAAATGCACTTCAGACATTGTGCTCTTCAGAAGGCAGGGTTACTCAGCTTGTTGCTGTCATGGGATGGAACAGGAACTTGCTGAGGTTGAGGAGGAGCTAGCCCTGGCCAGAAGTGAGAAGTTGTGCCTCTGCATCTTCCCAGGGCTGAGATAGGGAGGAACTTTCCTGGATGGGTGAATTTGGCGTTCTGGTTCCTCTTCACAGAGGCTGCCAGTGATCCCAGGATCAATTACAGCCCAGGCAAACCAGTGCTTGGATAAATAGGAGTTGCTTAAAAGCAAACAGCAAACTCAGCTCAAATTTGCCAGTGCTTCCTTGGGAAGAGGTGTTGAGGTGCAAAGGATTGTGTGAGCCATGCAGGCTCACACGTGGTTATGGCAAAACAGGAGGGTGTGTAGAGACAAGCTGGGTGAAAGTTCTTCAGCAGGTTTTCTTTATCAGAGCCATTGTGTTGATGGCTCTGATAAAGAAAACCTGCTGAAGAATTTTCTTTAAGCAAGTGCTCTTGAGTGGTTTCCCTCATCATCTGGAAAGTGACTTGTGAGAAATGCTGGTTTTGCTGGTGATTTGGAGAAAAGAGGGGAGGTTTCTCAGGGAAGAGGTGGAAATGTGGGAGGGCAAACAGCCTTCAGCATTAGACTAAAAGCTCTTTGGAGAGTGCTTTATGAAAGCCTAAAATTGCTCAACTGTTCTTACTAAAGAGTTTTTATTTTATCTTCCTTTCTTAAAAAGGAAAAGTATTACAGGAGCTACAGGAACTGGCAATATTGGAAGTGATTACCTGTAGTTGAAAGTGAGGTCTAACTATGAAAACCCTTAGCTGTTACAGATATAGTAGGTTCTCTGTCACTTGAGAGCTTTAACTAAATATTTGGCAATCCATTTTTGTGAAGTGTCTGAGCTCAATCAGGAGAATTAGTGTGCACAATTCCCACAGCTGACTTATGCAAGCCTGAGGCCTGAGTCAGGGTATGGTCCTACCTGGAAATCTCCACGCCCACACCAATTGCTTGCTGCAGAGCACATCCTCAGGAGCTGGTGACTCATCCCACACCTGGAGATTCATCTCACAACATCTGGGGGCACCTGGAGCTGGGTAGGAGACTACCTGGCCACTGCAGGGGCACCCCTGGGCCCCAAAAGAGGTGAACCCCAGTACTATTTCCTAACCCAACGTGCTGTCTTCTGCTACCACTTTTAATGCAGTGGCCAAACTTCCACCAAACTTCATTGTGTGTGTGGGCATATCAGAAAGGGTCATTCATGAGAGCTGGAATTGTACTTAAAAGGAGATTTTTTCAATGGGAAATGCTTGATGTCACCTGAAAACCTCTGTTTATCTCTGTTTTGCAGAAACTGGTTCAGAAGACATCGAAATACTTCCCAATGGACTGGCTTTTATCAGCTCTGTAAGTCCCCATGCCACCTCCCCATGCTGGGGCTTGCCTGCTTCCTTACCTGCAGAAGCCATAGGTGAAAGGAGCAGGAGGGGCTCTTTTCTACAAGTCTGACTGGCTCCCAAAGAGCAGCCCAGTCCTGTGTTGGCTTAGCTGTCATTCCCCTCAGCAAGTGTGCTTCTTGACACAGAGGTGGTGTTGGTGGCTCTGACACAGGTGTCCTATCCACAGGTGACTTACCTGCCACATAACCTTGGCTTTCTTTCATGCTACTTCATTGAAATGTGTGGGAACTCAGCACATCCCTCGGATGTCCAGAGTTGCTGAGAACCCTGTCGGGGGGCTCGGAGACCCTGGATGCTGCCCAGAACACCTGGTGGCTTGATTTTGATCCTTCCAGTGAATTGCCAGCTTGGCATGGGGATGTGAAAGCCACACAGGTTTGAATGGTGTAATGACAAGGTGTTCACAGGGTGAAAATGTAGATTTTAGGATTTTTGGTATAGGGGTTATGGGGACAAGATGGAGGAATCAGGGCGTGTCTAGTCCTTCTTCTTTCTTCTTCTTGTTCTCCATTTTCTGCAGTGGTGTTGGCACTTTGGGATTGGTTTAGAGTAGAGATGCACTGTCTAACATAGGTGACAGGTATTGGGAATTAAAAGTAAATATGATATACATAGTTTGTAGTATAAAAAGATGACACCGCCTCGGGGGCGGTCAGAGTGCCTATGGCTGCCTTGCTGAGCAGATCTCAGCTGGGCAGAAAGAAAATTTTGTAGATAAGAAAATAATAAACAACCTGAGGACCGAAAAAGTGAAGAGTCCAGACTCATTCTCCAGAGCACGGGCTGCCACAGAACCATCCCACGCATCTCGGGGCAGAGAACAGACAGCCGGCCGAGAGAAATGTTGAAATGTCTATTCTCTGCCATGTTAAGAAGCTGTGTTAATTCCCTAACTTTACAAAAACCAACAAATTTTATGTATTGATTTTGCTGTTCCTGATTGGTTTTTTGCCTTCAAGAGATAAATTTTCAACCTTTTCTTTGCAGTTATGGTGGCTGGCCATGGGACCTCCTCGTGTGTGCTTGCAAGTCTGATCAAGGCCGCGGCTTTTTCAGCCCTGTGATGCTCTTGTTTACCGTTTATCTGGGAATTATTTTCTTATGTTTGGATTCTACAGGGCTTGAAATATCCAGGAATAAAGAGCTTTGCCCCGGATAAGCCAGGTGAAATATTTTTGATGGATTTGAATGAAGACAATCCCAGAGCAGTGGAACTGAGAATCAGCCGAGGGTTTGATCTGGCATCATTTAACCCTCATGGAATCAGCACCTATATAGACAGAGGTAAAGAGCTCGAGATGGTGGCAAATATCAGCCCAGAGAACACAATCAGGAATCCCTTTGCAGCCTTGCCCCACACCCCCAATGGTGGTTCTTGCTGGGAGACAAAAAGGTTTGGGGTTTTTTACCTTTATTTTGCCCTTTTCTGAATGTCAGTTGCCAAAGGAAACACATTTGCACATAATTTCAGTCTGTCTGAAACAAAAGGGTGCCCTGGATATTAAAAGGAAAGAAAACATGGTAAAATTTAGAGTTGAAAACCACAGAAAATTGATTTTACATTTACATTTACGTCTGTCTCACTCACGGGTTCGAGTGTTTTGAGGAGAAACATCCTTCACTGACTAGTAGTGCCCAGAATGAAAACTTTTGTGGCAAAAGAGTAAATTATCAACTCTCTGTAAATTACAAAACCTCTGTTACTCTTTGGCCAAGCCAGATTCTCTTCTCCAAGGCATGTTCTCCTACATCAGGCTCTGACTACCAATAAAGTATCTTTTCCCTGTCCTTTCATTGGGGGTTTTAGCAGGGCAAGTAGAATTCTGCAAGTATAAAGAAAACAATTGCTGCAGCTTGACCTGCATCCCCATACAGTCACCTTTTAAGGGAAGGTGTTGGAAAAATCAGTGGTGGCTAATTTGGGTCCTACCAGAAGGGCTGGGCAGATGGGCAGCAGCCTTGCACAGAATGCAGGGGAAGGGTGCTCCTTCCACTCTCCCAGGGGATGTGGTAGACAAACCCAAGAGCCCAAACTGCCTTGGCCACAAACCCTTCTTCCAACTGACTGGGGCTGTTTCACAGATTGCAAAACCCAGTGGCTTGGGTATAAGGATAAGGTGGTCGTTTCTTTCTTCCTTGGAAGAAATAGCAAAAATCTATTATTAACAAAGCAGTTCCCCGTAGGGCCAGCCTGGGAGAAAAGCAGCTGGAGGTCTGGATGTGGTTGCAGAGGCATCTTGCAGAATGTGGGTACTCATCCCTGTGCCTCTGCAGAGCCATGAGACAAATGCACCACACTCAGCATGTGCTCTGTGCTCGAGGCTCCCTCAGGGCTGGGCTGCTCAGCCACACAGACTGCTGCAGAGAATTCAGCTGCTTCCATTTCTTTTTCAAGATGACACCGTGTACCTCTTTGTTGTGAACCATCCCCACCAGAAGAGCACAGTAGAGTTGTTTAAATTTGTAGAAGATGACAATTCTCTTGTACACCTGAAAACCATTCGACATGACCTTCTGACAAGGTATTGGGCTCAAATACAGATCAGGCTGCATTGGTGAAATCCAATGTAGGACGATTTTTGGGTTTAGGCTATTGTTAATATATTTCCTCTTTAACCAGCATCCCTGTTTCTTTTACTGATTACTTCTTATCTGTGTAATCAAAAGCAGTGTTTCTCCAATCTGTTCTCTAAATTAGATTTTTAATAGTTGTATCACTAAATTAGTCTTAAATGCTGCTGTGAGTGATGCCAGTGAATTAGCTTGGCATCCATTTCTCCTTTGTTCATGTAACCCACACTCAGGTCATTGCAGATATAAGTCTCCAGATATTTTATTTTTCGTTTGGATTTCCTACACTGTAAAAATAAACACACATTTAGCATTTTCTGTTTTTCTTATTTTTAATACAAAATTTTTTGGTCTGTCCTACTGCAATATGATTGTAAAATAAACAGCCAGATTGATTAAGTTGTCACAACACCTACCAGTTCTCTGATTTCTAATCGAATGTAGTGAAAAAGAAAAGAATACTAATAATACTACTACTAATAAAAAAAAATATTTCCATGTACTTACACACAGGTAGCCAGATCTCTAGCTGATGCCCTATGGCCTTATTCAGGTTTCAGCACTGCACTGTCCTGGCTCATAGAGAATAGAAGTTTGAAAGGCTCTAAATAATTTGGTGTCTACTTGAAGTACATCTATAATTGCAGCCTCTTTATGGGTATTGATGGCCATGTCCTGACTGTATTCTGGGCAGTCCTAAAATCCTCCTTCATATCTCTCATTTAATTTTTTTTAAATTTCTCTATTCTCTTTATTTCTTTTTTAGTATGAATGATATAGTAGCCATGGGACCAGACAGCTTCTATGCTACCAATGACCACTACTTCTCCGACTTCCTCTTGATGTTCTTAGAAATGTTATTGGGCTTAACCTGGTCAAATGTTGTTTACTACAGTCCAAAAGAAGTTAAAGAGGTAGCATCTGGGTTTTATTCAGCCAATGGAATTAACATTTCACCTGATAGAAAGTAAGTTTCTCCTTACATTAGATTTTGTTTTATCACACAGAAATATCTGGAGGTCTTAATTTGTACACCTGGTACCTCTGTGGTCAGGTGTCTGAAGTGGTTCATGTAAGGCAAGGTGCTGCCTGTGCAGCACAAGTGATGCAGAGTGTTAGTAGCACACAAGTTTTGTGTCTCAGTGTTTAGCAGCAGTGTTTGCTGCATTGTGTGGTACTTTATAGGCAACAAGGTCAACAGTTGCTGCATTTTAACCAGCTGGTAAAGGAGTTTGTGTGTCTTGCTTGCAGGATTAATGGGGCAGGGTTTCTGCAAGCAGGGAGTGCTGTACAGTCCTACACCTGCATGACTGAATCAACCACTCCTGTGGTGTGGACACGTGATTTAGGAAAAAATAAAAATTGTAATTGTGATTTTCTGGTTCCAAGGCTTATTTCAGTGTCATAATGGAAAAGCTGGCACAGTGTGAAGCTACACTGGCACATCAGCAAGTTGCCTTCAGTGCCCTGTGGGTGGCTTGCAATGTCTGTTGGTGTGTGGGCTTGCACAGGAGGAACTGTCTAGTTTTGGTCTCTGTCTACTCATATATATTAAGAGGTGCTTTTCTTCCTTTTGAAGGTACATCTATATTGCAGATATATTGGATCACAATGTCTATGTCATGGAAAAACATGCTAACTGGAGTTTAACCCATGTGAAGGTAAGGTGCTGCTGTTCTGTAAAAAGGAGGCAAATGTGGATTTTGGACAGAATAGTTTCAATGAATGCTTGAGATTTCAGCATGATCATCTGTAAAGTTCTGGTCTGGGTGGCTCCTACTGTGGGTTTGCAGAGGTGTCTGCACACCCTGTTACAGAGCTTCAGATCTTCCACCCTCCCACCAACAACCAGGGAGGAATCCTTGGGTATGCTGTGGAGCTGTAGTGGAAATCTGCCTCAGGCAGTGTGGGTCAGAGCACTGAAAGAATCCACAGAGGTGTAGGTGTGGATGAGGGAAGCTCAGAGCAGGAAGCAGGTTCCTCATAGCACAGGGGTGGGGATGATGCATACCAGAGGACCAGGGGAGAAGACAAACAGAAGTGGGGGGAAAAGTATTTATTAAAAAAAAAACCAGTCTAAATTATGTCAGATGAAACAAGTCTGTTGGTTATGTTGTAGTTTGCTTCCAGGATTTCTGATAGATTTAATTTTTTGGTTTTTTCTGTGTTGGCTAGACGCTGCAGCTGGACACGCTGGTCGATAACTTGTCTATTGACCCTCACACTGGAGACATCTGGATAGGATGTCATCCCAATGGGATGAAGCTGTTCTACTATGATCCTGAAAATCTTCCTGCATCTGAGGTGCCTTTTAGGAGACATCACTGGTCTCTTGGCTATGTCTGTGCTGGAAAGTTGTTTTGTTCAAATCATGCTGGTATAACTTAGCATTTCATAGAAAGTGCCTGGCACAAAGTGCCTTTGTTAAAGCAAAGACCAAGCTGGCTTCTGCTCTCAAGTGAGAGCCTGAACAGCATATACTCACTAACAAACACCTATTCAGATCCTTGGGCAACAGCTAAATAATTTCCAACCAGTAGCACAGTCACTTTGGACTCCTCAGGCTGCTTTCTGTGCAGTTGTGGACATGCACACAGATTCTGATGAGCTGCATTAATTACTGAGCCAGCACCTCTTTGCCAAACTGAACATAATTGACCGAGTGCAAAGCGTGACCGGAAACATTTCCGCAGGAATGATTAATTTGGGCAAGTGTGGTTCATCTGTAGGTAACATTGTAATTCTTTCTATGAAATCAGTGAGGTACTGGCATTGGGCTAGGAGTGCAGCTGGCTGCTGTCCATTGGATTTCAGCCTTGTCTGAAGCTCCCTGTAAGACACTTCTCAAAATTACCATGTTCAATAGCAGTAGATTTCTGATACTAGGCAGTTGTTTACTCTGTCTGGGAAAAATATGAAAATAAGAAGATATTAACTAACTCTTAGTCTGGGAAAAAATGTGCACATTCTTAGCGGTGGGGATGACTGCCTCACTTCCTTACAGATGTTTTCACAACAACATTAAAAAAAAAAATAAATCGCTGTTCATGGACCATGCTTCACTAAAGGCCCTCTCAGAGGAATCACATGGTTGCAATTATCAGCAGCTGGTCATCCTAGCTAATTTGTTTAAGCTAAGATGCTGATGTTGCCCCTCTCCCTGGAGCCTTTTCACCTGTGACCATTTCAACCATTTTCTCCCCCCGCTCTGGCAGGTCCTGCGCATCCAGAACATCCTCTCGGAGCAGCCCGTGGTGACGCGTGTCTACTCTGACAATGGCTCCGTGCTGCAGGGCAGCTCCGTGGCTTCCATCTACCAGGGAAAGCTGCTCATTGGCACAGTCTTCCACAGAGCTCTCTACTGTCATCTATAGCTCCTCACGGGCAAGGCCTGCTGCCGTGGAAAGGATTTCATTCCTTGGGAACTCACTTAGTTTCTGCTAGATCTGCTAACAACAAGACTGTTCCAATAAAGGTTAACTACAGTAATGGAAATGTATTTTAGCCTTCCTCTCCAAAGTGAGACTTCTACACAATAGTAAAGCACATGGAATTGAAGGTGAGAAATTAGTTTGAGACTTCTACACAATAGTAAAGCACATGGAATTGAAGGTGAGAAATTAGTTTATCTGTGTAATGGGGAGGACCCCATGTTGTTAACATTGAATTGAAGTTCAGTTTCAGATTGTTAATGACTAAACTGTCAGACACTGAACTATGTGCTGGCTGGATTTCTGGTTTGTTGTTTGGTTGTTTTTTTCCCCCCATGAGAAAACTGATTTTGTAAATGAGAATTGCTGACTACCAGTGTGGTGTGCATTCTTGTCACTGACCCCTGGGCCTTCCCAGGGACTGTGCTAGGGGTTTTTCTTCCAAACCTTCCTGTTGGCTTTCCCTAATGCTTCCAAAATAACTGGAAGGAGAATAAATGTCATTTCTGTCTCATTCATTTCCTCTTCCCCCTTAAAGCCATTTCCCAGTGTTACTTCAGTTTCATAAATTTGTTTTAGTCCTATGAGAGAAGAGTAGGGCATCACTTTGGAGAGGTTTCTGACTGGGTCTTTCAAAGGGAGTTTAGAAAATCTTTTTTTTCTCTTAAAGAGTGGGAAATATCTACACACCTTCAGCAGGAAGTGCATTAGCAGTTACTATGGTCTGTCACTACAAAGGGAGCATTTCTGGGCACTGTGCAGTGACTCCCCCAAGCCATGGTCACACATGTTCTGTGTTTAACTTCAGCTGCTGTGGAGCTGATTCCTGCAGCACTGCTCTGCACCAGGCAGCCCTTCAGGTATACCTGGCATCAGTTACTGACATTTTGCACTGCCAGAAGCCCCCCAGGTTTCCTTCAGCTAGTGTTTTTGGGATGATGTTAGCAGTCATTTGCAATAAACTGAACTCAGTGTCCTTTGAAGCTGGAGCTCATGGGGTGAGCTCTCCTTGCATTAGCATAGATGCCCTTACTCTCAGAGCAGCTCCTGCTGCACTTTCTGAGTTCCCAGCTGTGATCAGCTCTCCAGTTTTGTGGGAGTTGCTGACATTCAGCTAAAGGCTCTGTGTTACATGTGGGATCTCTCCTGCTGGGCTTGCCAATGTGCCTGCAACCTGCCTGCACTGGCCCTTTTCAGCATCTTGGCAGCCCCTCCAAATGCTGCCACCAGACAGACATCCCTGAGGGCCACCAGCCCCTCTGCATCCTTCAGCTGATGCAGTAGATTTTCCTCACTGCAGTTCTTCCACTTCTGTGCAGAAAAAAGACAGGCTGCTCCTGAAGTACAAGCATGGGAGGAGAAAGAGCCAGTCCCTGGGTGCTGATTGCCAAGCTGGCTTTGCTGTTCCCTCCTGCCTCTGCTCCAGCACCAGACACAGCCCCTCTGGTCTGAACAGAACATGGAAAGTCCAGAAAACACAGGAGTGCTTCTGCCTTTAAGACAGACCAAATAACCTGCTCTGTAGTGGCCCAAACATTGAGATAGGATGTGGAGTGCAAACCTCCTCTGTCTGTGTTCTGCTGTTCTGGCTGGCAAGAGGCAGTGCTGCAGGCTGAGGTTTGGGTGAGCAGGGGCCCTGAGCAGTAAATGTGTGTGCTGACACCTCTTGGCTCCTGCACCTTTCCTTTCTAACAAGCCTAATGGCTTTCACCCACTGGTAGGGAAAGAGAAACTGCTCCTTTCCTGAGCAAAAGGGACAGCTCTAATGAGCAGGAAGCCAGTGCAGGGCTTGTGCCGGGGCTGCACAGGAAGGACGGTGTCACCCCACTCCCTCAGCACACCTGACTGGGCTATGGGTCCTGCCACGTCCCCTCCTACCCCCACAAACCCTCTGTTCCACCCCAAGGCCTCACATGGCTGCTGGCACAGCCACCATGGTGTGAGGCACGTCCCTGGGCACAAGAGTTGTGTGAGGCTGAAGAACAGCCAGTGCCACTCTGCCCTTCCAAATGGCAGCAGCTTCCCTCTGCTGCCATGGCCAGCACTCACACACACCCAGTACCAACAGTGGTCCCTGCTCTTTGTGGTGCTTTGTACCCCAACAGCACCTGCTGCAGGGCTCAGTGATGGCTGGAGGGGCAGACCTGGGTGCCAGTAAATCACACAGCTGATTGATTTGTCTCTTAGCAGGTCTGTGCACAAACTGTGCTTGCAGCTCCTCTCCAAAATGCTCAGTTGATCTGGGGACTTGAGCACAGTCCAGGCTTCACTGTCTGCCCATGAAGCTTTGGATAAGGACTCATCTGTCTGGATCACAGTTCTGAGTCTTTTGCTGCCCATGGCGTGCAGCCCTTCTACAGAGCAGAGCCAGCCCTGAATGAGGGCAGCTTTTGTCTCAGCCCTTTGCAGAACTTTGGCATTACCTTACTCTGGCTTTCCTCCTCCTTCCTTAGCAACTTCTCTCCCTGCAGGACACTTTCAGCTTCCCTCCTAAGTGGTGTACTTTCTTACAGGAACTTGTAATCCATTTTCAGCTATGAAGAACAGATGTCATTCCCAGAGCCCAAGCTGAAAGAACTGCTCTGAAGGAAGTTCTCACAGAAAGGAGAGTTTGGGCTATTTACTCATCAGTGGCTTGCACTAGCATTCTGAAGGGATTATTCTAGGATTGTGCCACTTTTTGTTCTGAACTGCTATGTTCTAAAGAGTTCCATCACATATCAGTGGCAGTGACACAGCTGAAGTGCCAATCAGTCACTCTGCGGGTCCTGGATTTACTCTCTGGTTGTAGAGGGCAACAGTCACTTCTCTCTGCAGTGCAAAAGTAACCCACCAAAACATTATTTTCACATTTTACTGTTGCTTAAAACATCTTCAAATGAGCAAATCTACATGTTGCTGGATCTTGTCAAACTTCTATTTTTTAAACTAGTTTTGGCTTTTCAGAAAATCAAAACTGTCTTCACTCATCACTGGCTTTTTTCTGTTCTAAACTGCTCCTGTGCTGAAGATTTTCCTGTTGTTCTGCCTGCAGATTGAACCATGGGCAAGTGAGGGCCCTTATCTTTTCCTACAGCGTTTGAGAGGAGACACATCACAGCTGTCTGCTGTTACTGGCAGTGACATTGGACCCGAGGGCAGGGAGCCCATTGCCAACCTCCTGCCAGGTATCCCAGCCTTGCAGGGCAGAGCTGGGAGCTGGAGCAGGGCAGGACACAGCCAGCAGCAGGTGCTGTGCAGCAAGAGCCACGCCGGGCTACAGCTCCTACCCCTGGCAGTCTCAGGCAGAAACAGCAGGGTGCAGGATGCAGCTCAAGCCTGCCCTCCCAATTACCAAGTAACCTGCCCACAGAAAATCCAGGCTTGCAAGCCCAGGGAGGGCATAGCCCATCATCTTTAACATGCTGTAGAGACTGGAGCAGTTCTGGGCATTTCTGAAACTCAGCTGCAGCTCTCTGAGACAACTTGCACAAACAGGAAAGACATATGCACAGATGGCTCCAGGCCTAGGGAGCTGCTGGGCAGACACATTTTGCATGTCAGTTGTGCACCCAGAGCATCTTAGTATATCTATTTTAATTAAGATAATAATTTTAGGAATTTAGGATTCTTTTTATTTCTTGCAGGTGGTGCCTGTATTAGTGGAAGGTAAGATTTATGATTCAGTCACTGGGAAACACAAACTGGGTTAGTCAGATTAAGTGCACAGTGTTTGGCCTAGATTCTGCCAGATGTAAATCCACTGAAATGACTATACAAATTGCACAGTCTGTGCCCTTCCATTTTCCCTAACTTAATGCTTTACTAAAATCAAATAAATAAAAGACTTATTAAACATATTCAGTGAAAGAACTGCTTACTTTGAATGTATAAAATGCTCATTATAAATAACTTACACTTGAGTGTAAAATGTTTTTATGTAACAAAATCAATCCAGGTCTTTTAAACACACAAACATTGACTAGTACTAACACGAAAGCAGCCTATTTTTACATCAACCTGCAGCAAAAGACTGCATGCTACACTTCATCTTCATATGAAGAAAAAAACAATTTTTTCCTTTTTTTTTTTTTTTACTTCTTTCTACATAGTTACAGAGTGTAAATGAGACCCACTTGGGGGCTTGTGAATCATGCCAGTTTGGCTAAGAACTGGTATTAAAATAATCTTTGGCTGAGCAGAAGGAAGTGAAGAACAAGCAGGGCAAGGTACATATTCCCCTGACGTCCTAGCCTGACCCATGCTGCTGTCTGGTCATATCCTCACCATTTATTATTTCTTCTGGAATGACAAAGAAAAGGGCAGAAAAGTGAGGACTCATTACAAATTCTAATAAAGATTCAGGATTTCTCTTTTTATTGCATTCGTTGTCTAACAACAATAATACTCATTGGCAAGAAATTTATTTACACTAACAAATTAACTTTAAACCACAAGGCTTTGTTGTTTGTATTTCAACTGTAAGAAAACAAAGGGCCACCATGATGTTTTCTTTTGATGTCTCCCAATAACTAAATATTAAACAAAGATATCCTGGGGAAAACTCAACAATCTAGAGAAGTTCATATCAACCAAGCACAAGAGAACAAGCTCAGACATGGCACTACTGTGTCCTTCATGCAGGTGATCAGACACCAAGATGTACAAACAAAAAGTTCAGGATAACATGCATTTCATATACATTTGACCTCTTTAAAAAAAGGACAGAAAAAGGAAAAAATCTGAAGCACAACTATCTCTTTAACCATATAAAAAGAAGCAATGTAAGAAGCCAATTTTTACAGTAAGCACAGTGCATTTTAGTCTTTTAGCTGCCTGGTCTTCTATCAATATGTGTAACACTTGTCAGTGACCAGTGAGATACCATTGCAATGTGACTGGGAAATAGGAAAGCAGCTGTTGAGTGAATGTGTATGGGAAAGTATAGAGTCAGAGGATGTTCACTGTGCACTCCTCACTTCCAAATGGGCTGGTTACTCCTATGTCTGGTGCCCTGAGATCCCCCTTTCCTTCAGACATTTCTGCACAGAAAGACACTTCCAAATCCACTTCTGCTGGTGGCAGTGGCAAAGCTCCCGTTGGAAATCCAGCAGGAGCTCCTGGGTTACGCAGGCTGGATCTGACCTCGTGAGCTGTGAGCCCTCCTCATCTCTTTGGAGGAAGAGACCTGTCTAACTCAGCAGATTTCACCAACAGCTTGTTCTTAACAAAATCCACACTTCCCAAAGAAACAGGGAGCCCAAGGCACTGCCACCAAACCTTCCTGTAAGATGTGCATTTTTAAAATCATTACTTAATGCCAAAAGTGAAAGTACCAGTTGGCTCAATATCATGACTAAGGTATTATAGCTTTGAAAAAGCAGTTTCACAGGTACAGAAAAAAGTCCAGTAAAATCCAGAGGGAGGTTGACAAAAGGGACTGTGCCATCTGCAGATGACCCACACTCCACTCTAGTGAGTGGGCAAGTCTCCTTGGATTTCACCTGTCATCCTGCTCAGAAACGAACTGCTGAAAATGCTCCAATAAAAATCAAGGTTGGGGTTAAAAACACAAAAAAACCCCATGTTTCCTTGCTAGAACACTGACACCCAACTACATGATGATCCTCTTCCATACTACTGTAGAAGAGCATTCTGCACTATGTGCAAGAGTAGCATTTCTTTATCTTCTTTCTCTTGGAAGTGGAACACAATTCATTCTCAAAAATGACACTGCCCAGCTCTTACCAGTCCATGAGCCAGGAGGTGAAGGTGTAGCAGCTCAGGAGGACAGGAGGCTTTGATGGAAGCAATAAGGTATGAGGAACCCTGATCTCAGGTGTCAAGCACCTCTGAATGTCAATGACAGCTAAGGGCTGGCAACTATTAGAGGAAAGATTCTCAGTAATTCTAGTAAAAGCTCAATTCTTGTGGTATGCCTGCAGCAGACTACAGTCATAGCAAAAGAGATGCCATTGCAAAAAATTTTTGAGAAGTTGGAAAAATACAAAAGTATTTGTATACACTGAAATACAAACATCTAATGCCATTCATCTTTTTATTCCTGGCTTCTGTTCCATTGTGTAATTCTAACCCATGATCTTCAGCAGGCTCCACTCCCAGCAACCCCACCAGGACCTGCTTAGGGCAGCAGGTGAAACGCAGACAATGGGCAGCTCTGTGAATTGCAGTGAAGGGTGCAGCTCCTTCCTCACCCCCTGGCCCTGGTCTCTGGGCAGACTGAAACCCAACAGGGAGCTTTAACAGGACATTGCACAGGTGCAGCAACCCACCTGGGAAGAAATGGGAATACACAAGCTGGAAGCAATTCATGTCAGCATGTTTGGTGATTTGAACAGAACAAGGAGCCACTGCTCTCCTCACAATCTCAGAATAAGCACTAGGGGTTTTAGGACTAAAGTAACCTGCGGAGTTGTACATTTCATTTTCTATTTTTGAGACTTCCACTTTTTCCTAACTCTCTGCTCTTCACCTTTTTAGAGGCTCTATGTATTCACAACTTGCAATACTGCAGCAATGAGCAGAACTAGAGTTTACAGAACTGGCCTCCCACCCTAACCAGGGAGAAAATAACTTGGGCCAGCCTGCTGCAGTCACCCAGGTGTAATGATGACACAAGCACATGTCTTGAGGTGTGGAAGCACCACACTGCCTGCACAGAAGTTCAGTGGTGGCCAGGCAAGTCAGCCTAAGGAAAAAACAGCTTTAGCATAAACACACAATGTAGGCAACATTATGCCTGCAGGTGAGCCAAACTGTGAAAAAGGCTGTCCAACCATTCAGCACAGAAAATTTGTTTTTTCTTGTTCCATTAAGCCCCACATTAGTCTGACTTAGCACTGGTTTACAGGAAGTTTAAGTTAAGAATGATGAGACATCCATCTTTTGTTTCTTATAAGTCATAATACAGTACAAGGGAAAAAAATTGCAACACAACTTTAAAGGTCCTATAGAATAGCAAGAAAAGGTTCAAACTGTGCTTCACGTCTGTTATCAGGTGACATTTCTGCACTCCCCAAGACTGAGCTGCCATATTTTATAAAAGGAACCACATAAATCTTTTATCATAGAAAGAACAGCAAAACCCTTGCCATTGCTCTATTTCCTTAGTTTTCACCCATTGATCAAAATGCATTTTAATGCTTTTAATTTAAATGTAACCCAATAGGGTTTTTTAAGTCAGATTTTTGTTGATGTTTTCAGTCTGAGAATAACAAAATAACATTTTATCACAAAGCAGTAAAAATCCCCTGAATACTTAAAGGACTTAAGTTGAATTAGTTATTCTGCAGAGTAAGAACATGACTTACAAAGAGATTAACTAGGCACCGTTCTAAGGAGTAAGAATGAAAACTCAATATATAATGCCAAGCAATCTGCTCTGGTTTCTAAATAAAAAAAGAACATAAAACAGAGACACCACCTTAGATTATTATACACAACCACTTAAACATTACTACAATGTAAACATAATTTAAAAAGAAAATTGTCATCTAATGCATTTATCAACATCGCATTTAAAATATTAAACTTCCAGTTTCTTCCAGGTAACTTCTTTTACTCTAAGAATGCTAATTTTATGAGGCTGTTAAACATTTGTAGAATTTTTCTCCTATGAATGAACACAGAAGGATTTACTGCAATGTGTAATTTTTTGTGAGCAGGTGTATTTTGCTGCTGGTGGTTTATCTCAAGAAAAGTACCACAAGCCTTTAGAAATATCAGCAAGTATCTTTTACGGCAATTTCAATTTTAGATCTGAATAAAATATACATCAAAAACTTGTAGAAATTGGATTTGGAAGGAAAAATAAAGCTAATGCTAAGTAGATCTGTTGTGTATTAATTTTGAATGAACTAGGCTCTCTCAGTTTACAGACCATTTTACATGTCAAAGAAATTATTAGGATCAAGAGAAATGTAACTATTAACAGTGCACCCTAAGTGTTCCAAATCTGAGCTTCAGAGAACTTTGCAGACACAAATCTGAATGCCATGAAGTACAGAGCAGAAGAGAAGCCAAGCCAAACTAAAACACACATTTTCTTCAGAGGAATTTTCAGTTCTAGGCTGGCGCATTTTTAGGTTCAAAATTCTAACTTTGCATCGCCATGTTAAACAATTTCTGGGTTTGCAGAGCAGATGAAGGCTGCCACTTGCAGGCTGCACGAGTGGGAAGTGACGTTTCTCCAGAGTACACAGTGAGCTGTGACTGTGGAGCAGTCAGCTCTGCCTGCAGCCCCTCGCTGTGGAGACCTGCCCATTGTCTGTCTTTTCTTTGGAGGCAATACTGTATAGCTCAGTACTGCTGTTCAGGCAGTAGCACCATGCACTGCTTCTGTCACACTCAAAACTACACAGCAGCCTTCATCCATGGCCTCACACACCCCAGAAATCCCTCAAGTATGACCACTGCTAAGCCATTGAAACATTCTACAGCCAAAGCCCAAAAATTCAGGTTTTAGTTGGATATTCTTTAAATATATCAATCAAAACAGTTAAAATGTGGGAGGCTTGGATTAAGTAACCATCACCTCCATGGCAGCGTTGACCTTAACAGCAATGTACTGAATTTAATTTTAACCAGGATCACTCATCTTCCTTTTCTTAAAGTGCACTTCTGTAAAAACTGAAAATCTACAGCAGACTCAAGTTTGATAATTGTTTCCAATACCAGCTTCATAATAGCACAGCACAAAGTTTATTCTCCCAGTGCTTACTGACTGGAGAACAAATTTGAAGATGTGGGATTTTTCCTGGGAAAAAACTAACTTGAAACAAAATAAACCAAATTTCCTGTATGAAACACATGAAAAAAAAGTGGAGTGTGCTATAAGAAA